TAAATTAATAGATTTTTTCAACTTACCTCTTTGAAATTGGCTCTGTTACTAAAGATAATTTGTAGCATATTAAACATAGATACTATATCATAATTATCTTCATCTTTCAATTTTTCAAATATACCTCTTTTTCACTTTTATATTGTAAAATATTTTTTAGGAAATTCTGAGTATTGGTAAATGCACAAATGCCAATAGACCTTTTTCCCATTTTCCCATTCTTGTATCTGGCTGTATTTAGAGGCAATATCTTTTATATTTGACATCCAAGACTATGAACTAAATGGCACCATTTTTTTCTTTTTGTAATGATATTTCATCTGGTAGAATTAAGGAAGGAATGTGATTGCAAAAGCTACCCTTGATTTTGTTATATCTTCCTATTACCCTGATATAAGCACTTTCTCCTTCACTGCTAACTTCTGAAACAGATTTTTCAGTAATTACTCTTTTTATCCATTTCAGGTTCAGTTTATTCTCCTTAGGGCTATTAAAGTAATTTTCTGACATTAATTTGGACAAACTTTTTGTCTGTTTCAGTCTTCGCTGACTCTACATTGCCTAGAAAGAAATATTCAGAATACTTAAATTGGCGTTCAAAAGCTTGGAAAATGAAGGTCCAACCTAGTGTTCCAACATTATCCTTCAAGATACAGAAGTATGAAAAGTGCTGGCTCTATAGACTTATGAACTTGGGCCAATTATTCCCTTCTGTAAGCCTCAGTAACCTCAGAGCTAAATTGAAGAAAATAAGGGCACTGATCTAATACTCTTATTTAATTATGTTAAATGTCATAATATATGCAAAGTTTCTGAAAGAGAATACAGACAAAAATTGCTCAATACAGCTTAATTTAAAAACATTTTTATTATTTATTTGGCTCATGACTTCTTCATATTACATACTTCTCATTCCAAATTATCCCACATGAATGAAAATATTTCTGTTGCATATCATCATATTTGCTCCTATAAACTTTGTATGTTATAAATCTGTGTGATTTTCCTGATGACTAATACTATATTTTATTTAATTACTAGTATAATTAAATGTGTATAGTTTGAGTCATCAATAGATGTTGAGCATGTTATATTTAACATGCCAGAGTAGATATATATTTCAGATTTAGCTCATTTCATGTACAGTTGATTTCTATAGTCAAGGTTTTATTGCTTGTAGAAAAAGTAGATACTGTAATGCCTTAAATGCTCAATTAATGCTTGCAATTCATGATAATCTTTGTAAAATTGGACAAGAAAATCTGCAAAAGAATTAATATATAGAAAAATACCTTACTCTAATTTTTATTCCTCTGAATATTCTGTTTGTATCTTGAGATTAGAGAACAATAATTAAATATAATTAAAGTTTTGCTTAAAACGTATGTGTGTTCATTTATATATCTCTAGGTAAAAGAAAAATGAATATACACCAAATAGAAAATAATAATTACGCTGAGAGTAGTGAAATGAGAAAGGAAGCATATTAAGAAGATATAAATGCTTATTTCTAATTTTTATAATTCTGATGAAAAAGGAATGGATTTAAGTTTTAATTAAAACATATAATTGTTTAAAATGAAAACTATGTGTGTATGTGATTATAGAAAAGTTAGTTTTCTGCATGATAATAAAACCAATCTTAGAAGAAACACTTAAGACTTTTCATTTTAGTTTCAGTGCATAAAGAGCTTGAAAGTGATTATTCCTACATTCATACTAAGAAAGTAACTTGAACAAACTGATAAACAATGACTTTTCTTAGATCCATCAAAGAATTTCATTCATAGGACAAACCACCATCCTAAAAAGTAGAGACAGACACAGACAAAGAATTAAAGTTTGTGTTAATCCGTTTCTTATTGCTGTTACAAAATAAGTGAGATTGGATAATGCTGTAGAGGAAAAAAGGTTTATTTAGCTCAGAGTTCTAAATTAAATCTTTTACTCTTTAAATCTAATTACTCTTAAATCAAGTATGCTGCAATATCTGTTTCAGAAAGTGGCAAGAAAAATGGGATAAATAAGTTTGAAATGAGGGGAACATTTTGAGTGGGTTTAATGACAATACAATTTTACAGCAATACATTTCTCAAAACAAATATTCACTGTATATTTAGATCGTATCTATTATTACTATACTTATTTATTATTACTACACCTAGTAATAACCTGTTGAAATTGCAGAAAACAGACACTCTTTAAAGAAAACAAAGAACCTTACCTATAGAGGGAAAAGTATAAGAATTATGTAGGATACCTCTTCAGGGATCATATAATGAATAAGATAAAGCAGTGACATGACTATGCTCAAAGCAAGGGAAAAAATAAATATGCCAGTAACATTAAGAGGCGGGAGAAAAGAATTGCTAGTATTTCATTAGAAGGCAAACACAGTTGCTTGAAAGTATCTTTGTATTAGTAGTATAAGTACATTTTAAATTCTAGGGGAACTACAAAGGATATATGCTAATAAACATAATCACTGTAAAACGAATGATCCAAATATACAATTTGAAATATAGAGGTTTTCAGAGTGTGTTAAAAAATAAAAGAAGCCGCAGCCAGGCGTGGCAGCACATACCCATAATTCCAGCGCTCTGGGAATCTGAGACAGGAGAATCACAACTTTTATCTCAGCCTAGGAAATTTAGTGATGGAGTGAGAAAATGTCTACAAATAAAAAATAAGTTACCAAAATAAATTAAAGCAATAAATCACTCCCCAGTACTGCAAAATATATTTTAAAAAACTAAAAATAGTTAAAAGACAATAAACAAGATCCAACTATAATCTGTAATAAACTCACATTAAATACAAAGATATATAGATAAAAACTAAAATGATATAAAATATACTGTAGTGACTAATGAAACAAAATCAACTACACTAATTTTAGATAAAGTAGACAAGAAAAACAATACAAAACTATTTGTGGATACACTTTAAAATGGTTGTAAAAATTCCATCAGATTAAGACTTTTCTTTTTCTACTTTAAAATTTATTAAAAATAATGAATTAGAATTAAAATTAGTTAAGTACTCTACTTCAATCTGATATTATAATCATATGATTATTAAATTGGTTTCAGTTAAAATGGTAAATTTCATAGACTTTCAAAGATTTAGATCACCCCTGCATTTCTAGAGCAAATCCCATTGTTAGGATGCATTATCCTCTTAATACATTCTGCATGTGATTTGAGAGATAGTGTTATGATTGTTCTTTATTTTAATGTTTTCATGCTTTAAAAGCAAAGTTTTGCTGGTCTCATAAAAATTTAAAACACATACTGTCTTTTTATATTTTGGAGGAATTTATAAACACATTTTTACTTCTCCCTTAAATATAAGCCATCAGGATAAGAATGTTCTTTGAATGAAAGACTGAAATTCTTCAATAAATATTAAGACTATTCTTCAATGAATATTAAGATTATTCATATGTTTTTATCAGTTTCACTAATATTTTTTAAAGTCTGTACCCTTAATCTCTAATATGGAAATTATTAACAATGCTCTTTGTGGTATCCTCATTATTTTTGTTTTTTTTCTAGTATCTATAGTTATTCTCTTTTTATTTCTTTTTTGTTTTTTGTTTTTTGTTTTTTGTTTTTTGAGATAGGGTCTCACTATGTAGTTGAGACTGACCTGGAACTCACTATGTAGCCCAGTCTGGTCTTGAACTCACAGTGATCCTCCTGCCTCAGCCTCCGGAATGCTGGAATTACAGGTGTGCACCACCATGCCCGGCTCTAATTATTCTGTTTTTAGAATTTCTGTTACTTTTAAATTGTATTCTTTGTTTCTGTCTGAATTTTTTTTTTTGGTGTTATTGAGATGAAAGCCTAAACTTTGATTTCAAGCAACTTTTATGTTAATGTGCTAATTCTTTCTTTCTAAAATTAGATTTAATGCAAAAATTCCTTGGTATGTGTTGTTGTTTTTTTTGAGCAAATAATTTTATTTCCTCTATTAATATAAATAAAATTCAAATTTATTTTAAACATAAAAGCTACAACTATAAAACTTCTAAAATAAATCTGAGGAGGGAAGAAAGTTACACAACATTGATATTAGTAATAATTTCTGGATTGACACCAATCCAGAATGTGTTGTTTTATCTGTTATTTTTAATTGTGGTGTTGTAGTTACATGTTTTCTTTTTCTTTTATTTTTTTTGTACTGGAGATGGAACTCGGGTCCTTCCACTTGTGTGAAGCAGGCAGCAGAACCACTGAGCTAAATCCCTGTTCCTGTAGTTGTATATTTTCTGTTGACCTATCTTTATATTTTTTGATTTAAAAATATTAAATTAATAATAAAAGTGTATAAATTTACTGCTTAGCATTTAATATATTTATAATTCTATAATGATCACAATAAACAGTAATTAACCTATCCGTCACTGTTTATAGTTACCATTGTTTCTTGTGTGTGGTGAAAACATTCAAATTCTGAAGTTTTATCAAATGTAAGCAATGAACATCATATCCTTATCTCTACTCCTAATGTTGTACCTTAGATTCTAGTGTTTATTTACCATATAACTGAAGGCAGTATACTTGGACCACATTGTTTATGTGACATCTTTCTTCATATCGTTATATAAAGTAGTGCCTCCTTTGTGGTTTTACTTTCTACAGTTTCAGTTACCCACTGTCTACTGTAATTGAAAAATATTAATATTAGTAGTAACCCTTCAAGAGAGATTATATTCATATAATTTAGCAGTGTATTTCATGTCTGTGTGTGTGTGTGTGTGTTTGTTTTTTGCACCGGGCATTGAACTCAGGACCTTGTGCTTGCCAGGCGGCAGAACCACTGAGCTAAATCCCCGGCCCAGTATATTTTTCATAATTGTTCAGTTACATTATTACTTGCTGTTAATATCTTACTGTTAACTAATTTACCTATTAGTGTTGATTATAAATATGATGTATTGAAAAATGTAGAAAAAGGGAGAAAAGGAGAGAAATTGTTACTATCTGTGGTTTCAGGCATCTTCTGAAGTTCTGGGAACATAGACCCTGCAGTACATTACAGCCCTTTCTGCATTGCTTCAGCTGTATCCTAAAACTTTCGGTATGTTGTGCTTTTACTATTTATTTCATGATATGTTTTTATGTTTCCCTTTTGACTTCTTTGTCACATTGGTGGTTCAGAAGTATGTTGTTTAATTGTTACTCATGGGTGCATCTTTCAAAAGTCAAAATTCTTTGTGATGAATTTCATTGTGGTAAGAAAAAATAATGTCATTCCAATCTTCTTAAATATACTCACGCTTGCTTTGTGGCCTTTCCAGGCAAATGTTCTGAATGTGATTAAGAAAAGTATATATTCCTTTGTTGTTGGATAGACTATTCTGCATATTCCTAGGGTCCCTCAAAGTAAGACCTAAACAGAAAGTAATCAGCCTTAAAATCTACAGATACAAAATGCCAGGTCCAATTGACCTCTCCTTGCTATACCTGCCATCGCTATTCTCTTGGTTGGTGCCTACTCTGTGAGGCCTGTAAGGCAATGATAGGCTGATTGGCCTGGCCCTTTTGATCTCTAGTTTTCAAGGCTGATTATTTTTCAGTTGGATCTTATTTTCAGGGTACGAGGAGTCTATTAGACTCATTTGTATATATTGCTCTTCAAGTGTGCATATATATATATATATAACATTTATATTATATTTATATATAATTTTATATTATATTGATATATATATTTAAGTTCTGTAGTATTGGGTGCATATATATTTATAACTGTTGTATCTTCTTGATGAATTATCCCCTTCATTGTCCTAGAGGGATTCTCTTTGTCTCTTATGGTAGAATTTGACTTAAATTCTTATATAAAATAGCCACTTTGGCCTTGTTTGTTACCATTTCATGGTCTTTTTTTTTTTTCATTCCTTGTCATCCCATGAGTTCCCTTAAGGCTAAGGTGAGTCATATTATTGGATACTGGTACTTGAATCCATTCAGCCACTCTATCTTTTGATTGGAAAATTTACTCCGTATCTTTGTAACCTGGGTCCCGCTGATCTCTGCTGTAGTTTGAGAGCAGCCCTTCCCCTCCATGGACCTGGAGGGAGATCCTCATCTTGGTTTTACTTCAGATCTTGAAGCAGCTTTGTAAATTGACTCCAGGATCTCTCAGCCTCAGTTTGATAAGAGAGCAGTACTGCCTGCCAGGATCTTACAGGGAAGTATGCCCATCTGCCTCTTTGCACAAAGGTCAGCAGACATGAAAATGGGCCTGGTACTAGGTATGTCCCACCTACCCTCACCTGAGTTCTGCAGGCCACCTTGCCCACCCAGAGCCTGTAGAGAAGGACTAGGCTTGCAGATCTGGGGTCTCAGTTGTGATCTTGTATCAGCTTTATCCCTTGGTTATTCCAAGGTTCTTAGAGTTCACAGGATTCTAGGACACATTAAAATCAAATTGCAAAAATTAACAAAGAAAAAATTTTCAAGGTATCAAGAGATAAGGCATTTATCACATACAAGGGAAACCTTCCATAAGGTTATTAGTAGACTTCTCAGTAGGGATCCTGGAAGTCAAGAGAGAATTATATGATAACTTGTCAGTAATTAAAGAAAAAAAAAACCCAGCCAAGTATACTATCCATGGAAAAAGTAACTTTCAGAAATTAAAAACGTATCATTACTAGATAAACAAAATCTAAAGGATTTCATTACTATAAGATCTGCCTTAACAAGAAAGAGTTCTTCAAGGTGAAGAAAAGGACATGAAGTAACTCCATGTACACACGATAGTATAACACTCATTTATAAAGGTAAATATACTATCATACTCAGAATATTCTGCACCTGTGATGGTGGTTTGTCAATTATCTTTAACTCTAACATAAAATACAGAAGATAAATTATTAAATCAACCATATTTACAATCACTTATTAATGCTACAAATTATAAAATATGTGAAGTGTGATAATGACATGAAATACATTTACTCGGGAGAAATAAAAGTAGGGTTATTGTTTATAACTGAAGTTGTTCTAAGCTTAAATTAGGATATTGTAATTGTAGGATGTTTTATATAAGTCTATGGTAACTACAAAGAAAAATGCCACTAGTACATACTAAAAAAAAAAGTGAAAGAAATAAAAAACATGACATCACAAAAAATGAAAAATTACAATGGAAAAAAACAACAAGAAGAAAGAAGCATGTATAAAACGTTTGGAAAACAATAAACAAAATGTTAACAGAAAGTCTTTGCTTAGTAATTAGAGTGTATCTTTCAGTTCACTAATCCTGTTCCATCCCATTTAATCATAATATAGCTAACCATTGAATTGTGTAATTTGGACATTATATTTAAAAATATCTACTATGTCCATTTAATGTTTTACATATTCCATTTCTCTTGTAATATTTTCATTTTTCATCAATTTTCTATTTTTTTACATATTCTAGTAATTTTCTTTTTATCAAAACTGTGGAAAAGTATACATCCATCAATTTTCAGCAATCTCTTTGAGTTACAAGTCATATTTTATCCGTGTTAACTATCTAGTAGTTGTTAGCTGTGTTATGGACAGTGTTGAGATAATGTAAGTTTTCCCTCAAACAATTTTCCTCTCATCTTTTTTGCAACTGGCAAAGAAATAGTCATTTTAATCAAATTAGAAATAAAATTTGGTAGGGACTTAGCTATTTTAAGATTAACACTTCCTTTAATTAGCACATATCTTAATCTTCCTATTTGATTGAATTACTTCTCCATTTCTCAGCATCCAGACACAGTGATGCATTGAGGGTTTTCCTTCGATGTTTTAGTCCATCTCACAAGCCTTATGAACTTAAAAATATGTTAATGGTTTCAAAAAGCAATAATTTCAATGATGTCTTTTTTCCTATGCTTTATAATATTATCAGTGTTTGTATTCTGTCTTTTATCAGTTTTTCTTTTGGATAGCTTAACTTCTGGCAGAGATTAAAAGTCATTGATATTTAACAGGACAACAGGCTTGTATTTGAATCCTTTTAAATTTGCAGTTTGCCCCACTAATGCCTTGTGAAGAGTAAATTGTATAGTGTATTATCTATTATGTATTCCTGCACTAAATGGTGAGATTGAGGAAAACATTCTTTCTATATAAGAAAGGCTAATTCTTTGTCCATGGCAAGAACTAGCAAATAAACACCAAATAAAACAAGGAAACTGACGTAGACTGTCAACTCACTTCCAAAAGCCCTTATTGTCTGTAAAATTTGATATTATCTATTCTTTGTCACTTTGTTTAAAGACATCACTTGAATGTCTTTAAAATATATTTTAAAAGATTTGTCCAAGCTTTCTTACTTACTGAGATGTGAACATTAACCTTCCATGACCAGTTTAATTGTTTTCCCAAATCAAAATCCTTTCCTTGGGTTTTGGTACTGGACAAAATTGTGTATTTTCTTCATAGAGAAAGTAATGGAAAATATAATGGTTTTATTATCATGCCATTTTCCATCTTCTGTTAAAGGCAGTTTTTAAAAAAAATTTGTGAAAAATACGTATTATATGGAGAAGAGCAGAATAAATCAAAATTTCTAAGAGGCGTTTGAAGAAGTATCACATAAAACTGAGACTAGTACTTGTGTATTTTTGGAATAAAATTCACTATCAATTAAGCCTTCTAGAATTTTGAAAATGTTAAAATTTCTTTTAAGTCTGCCTCCTGCCTCACAAGTGTAGGGTCCTGAGTTCAATCTTTGGTACCCCCAAAAAATAATAATAATAATTGCAAGTGTCAGGAAGGCTAAGTGGTCTAAGGTGCGAGACTAAAAAAAAAAATTTTTTTTCTAAGGCCATAATAAAGCCAATAATAAGTATTATTTATGAAAAAATGAATACAGAATCTATTAACACATTTTCTAAATTTATCAGTAGATGGAAAACAGTTTATAAACTTGACTGATTTAATTTGTTTATAATAGATATTTACATGACTATGCTATGCTTTTAATTAAAATTTATAGAATTAAGGAAAAAATCTCTGAAATTTGTTGTTTTTATAATGACTAAAATGGGTATTTTGAAATTAGTTTTTATATGAAATTAATTTTATGTATATCACTATGTATATAAATAAACAAGATAATTTACAAATAAATAAATATGTAATTGATCCCACGTTACATTTTTGAGGGAGAGAAGGGTTACAGAGAGAGAGGGATAGATCTGGGGAATCATTGTTTTATAAGAAGGTCTCCAGATTATTCTTAAAAAGTGCATGTTTGGGCACTGCAGGTCATGAATTTCAGTGTACTAAATAACTGGCAGTAATACCCTGAGTATATAGATACACTTGACAATAGATTATATTTTTTGAACTTTTATTTCATAACTACCTCATTAACTACTGTTAGTATGCACTCCTGTTTTTTTTCTTTGTTTCTTTCTTAGTGTTAATCTTCCTAATATCAATCTCTGTTCTTTTGATGTTTGCCATTCTCAAACAAATCTCTTAAATTTTCTTTGTAAGACTGAACTTAAAAATGCTCAGTCTTTTAAAATATTTTTCCAGTGAGAATCCAATAGCCAATGCAGGCCTTTATTAAAAAAACAACAAGGGTGAGCCTCATGTTAATAAATTCATAGTTTTTGTGGGATTGTATAGCTTTCCTTTCCTCTTCTCTCAGATTTATTTTGCTCAAATGTTGTCCCTCCTGACTTGCTCACATCAGGAGAACTTATTTGCAGGCTGAAGAACTCAGTGAAATTTCAAGGTAGTTATTTCTTCTGAGGGACAGCTGGAGAACGAGAGACAGACAGACAGAGAGAAGCACTTTCTGTAAAAAGGCATCTCTCTCCTTTAAATTTTCAAAGAATATTATGGCATGGGACAGGAAGAATACTTTCTGCTGGTGATGCACATATTTACTTGATCTGATAATAAATGTAAAATATTGTTTTACATAAACATACACACTTGCTAACAGTTACAGTTGGCAAATGAATTATAGAATATAAAGCAAGCCCGTAGTAGCCTGACTGTCCTGTGTGTATGAAATTGCGTACTATGTGAACAGAACTTCTTTAAAGACTTTTCCTGAATAATATTTCTAACAGT